CAAAACCAGGTTACGGGTGCTTAACTGGCAAGCACAACGGGACGAATCATCATCTGGTGTACATGAGCAAACTATCGGTCAAATAACGACCTACTAATCAGAAGCCGATGACTACAGCATCTAGTTCAAACAAAGCGTGGATTGCGTCGTGTCACTCTCGGAATCCCATGCTTACCGTTTGCTCGTTAGTGTTGACCTGGCACTTGGCCGAGGGTTGTAGTCTGGCATCATGACACCGGAGCAAGTCCTGTCACTTCTGGACCTCCACGCCTCCAACACATTTCCACAAACCTGGGAGACTGTATCCCGACGCCGCCCTCAGCTAACCAATCGGATCTCAATCAACAGAAACGGATCTGCCGGGCCAACGACGTCGCCTTCCAGACCCTATACCACCAAGGACGGAAAGATGCAGCGCCTGCTGTGCTCGATCGGTCATGGAAGGATTCATACGAAGGTAACTGCGGCCTACCTATGGACGCCGAGCAGTATTGAAAGCAGGTGCTCTCTGCTCTGAAACACGTGGATAGCTGGCCAAGTCGCGTTGTAGTACCATCCGACTGGAGCTTAATCGAGCCAATTACAGGAGAGGAAGTCGGACGTACGATCCGTTCAATGGGCGATTCGTCCCAGGCCTGGACAAGCTCACACCCAGGATGCTAACGTACTCGCTGAGTATTTCAACTTACCGTTATTATCTGGGGGTTGTCCTTCCCCATTATTATTCATTATGGCAATGGATTGGATTATCGATGAAACATCGGGCAACAGCAGTCTTAGTCGAACCATTTCTTTTCGCTGGGAATCCCATTACTCGTCTGAGTCCGACACGCACCGTAACATATTCGGGCATTCCTTCTACTTCCAAGTAGAAACGGGTCTTCAACCACAGTCAGCACCTTCACAAACTGCCCGAAGAAATTGCGCGTGCCCCGTTGAAGCCACATAAGAGTGTTGATCACGAGAAACTACCTAATATAGAGGCTGACATATTCGCTCGTGCTCGGCCAAGTTCGCCGAAACACGCTCAAAAGATTGGACAACTACATCAAGCAATATATTCGTGGTTTTCTACGTCTACCAAAGGACACCACGATCAGCTGCATCCACGCATGTAAACAACATGGGGGACTTGGTATCCCGAATCTGAGTGCAACAATCTAGATGCAACGGAGAACGCGCATGGAAAAGCTACTTTCTAGTCAGTGTCGAGTACTACGCAGTGTGCCTAACGATTCTGCATTTGGCAAAATTGTTCGGGATCTCAGCCTTCACATCCGAGTCCATGGTGCATGCGTAAACACCAAGGAAGGACTGGTGGCTGCTTGTGGTGGTGGTCTGCACAACAGCATTGATGGTCGCGGTTTACGAGAGTTGTTTGCTTCACCGCTCTTAAATCGATTGCTCGTTTTTCCAGAACGAGTGTCTCCTTAAATATTTATCCGCGGTATCCACCTCCGATTCAATCTGCTGAGAATGAGAGTGAGAAGCGCCCGGCATGGTCATGGTGGCCAGACGATCTTTTGTCGTGGAAACTGTGGACAGCCGGAGAGTTTGGTGCATATTCTGCAGTCTTGCTCGATCACGCACGACGCCAGGTATGCTTGTCGTAATCAGGTTGCAAGGGAACTCGCAGAGCGTCTCTGTTGACTGGGTTGCACCTTCTTCGAGAAGTTGAGAGCACCTTACTTCCTCTGCCGTCCTTCGTCAAACCAGGCCTAATTGCTGTTCAAGATCGCCGGGCAGCTGTATTAGACGTCAGCATAGTCCGGCATGGGCGCGGAGTGACTGTGTGGAATGGGAAGAAGCAGAAGTATTTTACTGATGAATATTCCCTCGCCATAATCTCAGCCTCACATGCAGTCGGTTGTGATGTCGACTTTTTGGTCCATCAACCAATGATCATCTATTGTTGAGGGATCTGCTTTCCTTAATCCGCCAGGGCTGTTATTGGACTGGGACTTCCTAAGGTCCTAGTCAGTGGCTTGTGTTTGCTTGCCACTGTGGGCCCTCTGCGTACCAGGCCCGGTATGACGGACGCTTTGTGCCTGGTTGCTCTAGCGCCTACCGCGCCCTGAAGAGCATTCAACATTCGAGAAACACACTCATTTGCCAATTACTCTTGTTTATTAGTTTCCTTTACGAAAAGCATTCAACGTTGTTTGTCCTTTCCTTGGTTGTTGGTCTTTAGACGCGTGTTTCCATATCAAACTTTTTACATCTGTTGGGATTTATCTCATCTAACTGGAACTGTTGTTGGCACGAATTCGAATTACGGCGGTGAAGCATCGTCGCTGGCGGCGTTGAACACTGAGTTCATGCTGCCGATGATGATAATGATGACGAATTCGGATGAGATGTTTCTTCTTTTTCTTTCATATTCTCCTGTTACCCTTCCGCATTCGTTCGTCTGCATTTACTTTGTATGGTTGTGACCATGCGCTTCAAAGATAAATGATGATGACGGTAAGTAGCCATGGTAGGCGACAACCAGCACGATTATGAGTAAGACGGGCCTTCATTGGCCATCGGGTTAGGCTGCTGGGCATAGATGAGGTCCCATACTCTGCATTGCACAGACGCAAACCTAGCAGTCATGGTAATTAGCCAAGGTAGACGACATCGACTACAGTTATGAGTACGATGGGCTGTCATTTGCCGTTAAATTAGGATATCACGGATAGCTTAAGCCTCATTTTTATTGACCCGCATGATACTGGCCTGGTGTTTATCATATAATTTACTTGCAGTTGCTTCCTGGTGCTGTTCTATCCACCAACTAGCTATGCACATCTGGGAAAGAGTATCATCCACAGAGATGGCCGCCGCATCNCGCCGCATCTAAACCGCACAATTCATGCTGTTGTCTGAGCTGAGCTTCATTGGGAAATGTGTTGTGACGAATTTCGCTAAACAAAGTTATTTCATCTGTTAAAACTGGTAAGTATAATGTAAACAAACGTCACTGATTTCCGTGGGTGGAATTTGCATTTGCTGTTGTGTAGACGTTACTTCGATCTCGGAGAAGATCGAAGAACGCCAGAATATGGAGAGGAGCAATTTCGTATTTTATTCCTCGTAAACCGCCAGTAGAATCCGTATCACGATAGTCGATGGCCTTGAAATTTTGCTCACTTTAACAAGATACTATGAGCAAAATAGCGTCGACAGGTGCAAATAGATTAGAATAACTTCCCGCAACTTTAACAACTTCAAAAACCCTATAGTTTTGAACAAAATAATTTGGGTGTGCTTCTAGAGAGCGGCCAGAAATGGAGATGAAGTTTGAAGAATTCGAACTGGAGACAGGTGGCAAGTTTCGTCTCAAGAATATGCTCAGCACCGAAAATAAATAGACTCACTCGTGTAATCGCTGTACGGAAGTAATGCGTAACGGATAGTTTCGATGACAAACCAAAATTGCAGCGGAAAAACGAGTAGGTTGAATCAGCGCCGTACCTCCCGTTTCGGATATAAACATCTCAATGACTTTCATTCTATGCTTCCCACAGAGTCGGACATTTTCTTTGCAGTTCCCGTTCCGTTTTGTGCGTTAGCTCTAAACTCCCTCCCCCAAGGAACTTTTGCTACAGGCCTCACCCCAGCAGTGACATCAGGGAAACTCTACAGTTTAAATGTAAACGTGACAATGAGATTTCTGCCACCATGTATCTGTATAAATGAACTTTATATTTCACCCTACCCACCTTCGCTCTTTATGACCCTGGCCACAAGCTCAACAGTCCAAGACCGAATAGGCCTCACCGATGGTTTTGGACCTTAGTACACATTGACCGTTGGCTGACATGGCACCCGAAGACCAAGACAAATAATGAACAGTAATATAGTCTAGCACGTATATCGGTATAACCAGACGAACTAAAAATCCAAAATTCAGCATAGCGTAACAAGTAGCACGTATGTATTCAAATTGGCGTATATGTACAGCATTTGGAATATTAAAACAAGAGGATAATGAATACAGCAATGAACAGAGCTTCCATCATGTTCAAGAAAATGGATAAGGGCTGTAGTTTAACTGGAACTTACTGTGTGTATTTAAGAGAATGGTAAGAGTATCATCGCCAGTCATCGAGTCACTGCTCTCAGCTCCGAGAAACGAATGGTTCATAGCAAAAACAGCCATTAGGCGCAAGATGTGACTGCTGGTAGTCAGGAAATAATCGGGGCTTCACGTTTTATATGTATATGATCGACTCAAAGAACAATAATAAAGAACATGTGTGCCATAACCGGCTGATGAAGTGAACTTGGGGTGGTGCAAACCCGACAAAAATGAAAAGTGGAGACCAAACGGAGACCAAATGGACCCAGATAAGACAAAACACATTGCCGAGTGGCCGATACCGACGGGTATCCGTGGCTTACGCAGTTTCCTCGGGCTTGCATCATACTACCGCAGATTCATTAAGGGGTTTGCCGCAATCAGTGTCCCACTTCACAAGCTTACCCACAAAAATCGAAAATTTTCGTGGACTGTAGAATGTGACGAGGCTTCCAACCGTCTTAAGCAGGCGCTAACATCTCCACCCGTTTTAACTTACCCGGATCTTTCACCTGATGCAGGAGAGTTTGTTTTGGATACTGACGCTAGCGAAGTGGCAATTGGTGCCGTGCGCTCCCAACGTCTGGCTGACCAAGAGGTGGTCATCGCATATGGTAGCCGTGTTCTAGATAAGCGTGAACGTAACTACTGCACCACCCAACGGGGAATGTTCGCTCTGGTGTACTTCCTCCATCACTTCCGGCCTTATCTGTTTGGCAGGCACTTCCTTGTCCGGACGGACCATCAATCACTACAGTGGTTGCAGAGCTTCCGCGATCCCGATGGCCAGGTTGCACGCTGGCAAGAGCGGATTCACGTGTATAACTTCTCTTGCACTTATCGCCCGGGCATTAGACACTCGAACGCCGATGCATTATCTCGAAGACCAGCTCAAAAATCAGAGCTTGTTAACGTGCTACTTGCGTCTACCTGAATGAACTGGGAAGAGGAACAATCTACGGACGCAGATATTGGAGAGATTTACCGCCTCAAACTCCAGGGCAACTCCGAACCCTCTGGATACCTGATGGCTTTGAGATCCGTGGCAGCAAGGAGTTTGTGGTCACGGTGGGGACAGCTGCGAATTATATCTCGAGTACTTCACCCTATGGATGGTCGGGATGGCCAGCCCCGTGTCGTTGTCCTACGTAGTTGCGTCCAGCAGACCATCACAGCAGTTCACCGAGATTTGGGGCATGCGGGGCATAAGAAAACGGAAGCGCACATTAGACGGCACTACTGGTGGTTTCTGCTACACAACGATGTCGCGGATTTCTGTCGGCACTCTACTGTGTGTGCGAAGACGAAGACCCCCACCGTAACACCCAGAGCACCGCTCCGACCGATCCCCGTGCAAAGACCAAACCATCGAGTTGGCATTGACGCGATTGGACCTCTGCCGGAGACCAGAAATGGAAACCATTTCATCGTCGTCATGACTGACTACCTAACCAAATGGTGTGAAACTGTGCCAGTAAAGCAGGAAGATGCCCGTACGATTGTTTCGGTGATAATCTCCGAACGGGTATCACGCTACGGAGTACCAGTCCTTTTTACACTGGGATCAGGGCCTAGCTTTTGAGAGCTATTTGCTACGGGAAACGTGTGCACTTCTGGAGATCAATAAAACAAGGACAACATCGTACCACCCTGAAGGAAACGGTCTGGTGGAACGCACCAACAGGACCATAAAGAAGATACTAACTACCCTTGTGGATCGCTATGAAGAGGAACGGTGGGACGAACACATCCCCCTGTGCATGCTGGCTTATCGTGCGGCTGTACACAAATGGACAGGTTATGCGCTGGCATTTCTACAACTCAGCCATCACCTCCGACTACCTTCTAGCGCAGAAACACCCGTGGCCCCGGCAGACCTCGTTGGCAGTAACGAATATGTCCGATCGCTTCGCGAACGGCCGTTCGCTGCACTGCAAATCGCTCGCGAAAACATTGGACATGTTCACTAGCACCAAAAGACTGTATACGACCGCAGATCAAACGGACCTGTGTATGAAGTGGGTGACCATGTGTTCTTGCATCGCCCGAAAGCACCGCCGGGTGCACCCACAAAATTCCACCAGACGTGGCAGGGCCCTTATGTTATTATTATGAAGAGACCAAACGGTACATATGTCATCCGCAACCCATCTCAGCCACATACGGATGTACAATGCATACTTTACAACCAGTTAAAACCATACCCCCAACCTCGTAATGACGCCCAGCCGTCAACGTCCCACTACCTGCCACCCGTCACTACTTCTGACACAAACGCCTTCCGAGCACTGAGGGCAGTGCTTGGACTCCGGAGGGGACAATGTAACGCAGTTGAAACTCGCCTGTATCTGCATGCACGTCTATCACGTTAGCTTATGTGTGTCTCTCCCCCTCTCTCTTCCTATTGCAGGTACCGTGGTCGAACCACCACGAGCCCCGGACAGGAAAGAGTAGCCGCTTGTACACCCCCTGACTGACCTTGACCTGGCTTTTGTACCCCCGACTTCCGGTTTCGGTTTCGGTTGAATACACGTGTGTTGTTGCCACGTTGCCACACTTCGGTGTTCTTTTCTGTGCCACCCGACCTGTGCGAATGTGTGCTGTGTGTGTCGTGTGGATTCCGTAATACCAAACTCTATATCTGCACATTTCAGAACCGACGTGTGCCGTCGCTACATCCTCTCGAACGTCGAATACCACTGACTTCCTGATGTCCTACGCTACAAGGGTTTGTTTCAAAGAATGTGCCTAGTGTAAGGCGCGGCGCAAGAAAGCTGAGAATCGAGGGTTTTTCGAAAGCCTACGTGTATGTATATGGGAGGGAGCTTGTTCCATAGTTTGGATTACAAACAAGGGAAAAAATTTCGTCTAAAGGCAGTTTGACAGGTCTACAATGGAAGCAAAAATCGAGAGTTGCGGATATGTTGGAGGGTGAAGGAAGAAAATCAGAGTTGCGGTGAGCTATATGAGCCTGTCGGTAGATGAGGTGGTGTATAAGGCCTAGGTTTAACCTAATGCGCCTCAGTCATAAAGAATCCAGCCCAAGTGACAAACAGTGTAAACGATATAACATTGTAAACGAGCGCTGCATATTTTCCACAACAGTCCTGCATGCCTGTGAGTACTGTGAGTCGAATTTAGGGTTAGACTCAAGAATGGGTCTAACAAGCTGCTTAAAGATGCCTAAACATGGTTTATCATGGAAAGATCGCCGAAGAGAAGCGCGGAGCTTGCGGGATTTAGCCACTCTGTACCATGCATGTTGGGAAAAACTAGGCGCACAGGAAGGCCTTAGACTTGGGTTCTCATTTCAGGAAGAGTATGTGTCGACATTCTATTAAGAATAAGCATCCCAGGAGAATTCTGGAATTAATTTTAGAAAGATTGGCATCTCGAAACTGCGACAAATGGACTTGAGTTGGGGGACCAGAGGGATAATGAATCCAAATCAGACTGAACGTTGGCAAAAGTGGAAATAGTGTCACTGTCCATAAATGTGTAGGCTATCTTAATATCATCAGCAAACAGAAAAGGGGACCCAAGTGTGATCAAATCAGTAACATTATTAATTTATGGCAAGAAGAATAGGGAGCAAGCGCGCTACTCTGAATAATGGTAATGGGAAGATTTGATGAGGAAAGATTCCTCATTTTCGTGACCTGGGTACTTTAAGTAAACCAACGAAGTGGCGGGTCACCAAACCCCTAGATCGTAACTTTCTTAGAATGCACCGTGGAGGATTCGGGCAAACATCTTGCGGATATCAAGAATAAGAATAGTACAGAGCCCGGCACCGTAAGTGGACGAAATACGATCAAAGTAATCAACCTGCGCTGTGTTAGAATGCCCGAGGAACATGCTAACCTTGCTTAGGTCGATGTGGTGAAAGTCCCTAGATGCATGTAAGTCGTAACAAGATGTTATTAGACGCATGGTTTTCGAGCAACTCATTGATTAATTTGTTTGTGAGGGTGTGAGAGTACATATATACGAATGTACCGTGAACTCAAGGAGTTTAACTCTGGTAACTTGGAATACAGCAACTCCAAAGTCTTCAAGAACAAATCCTCTCCAAATGCTGCAGTATTATGCAGTACTTGAAACTCATAGCCTTGAAACCCACAAAGTAAAAGTGATCTACATTAAACGCATCAAAATGTGAAAATAGTGTAATGGAAATTTGGACGAACGCCGTTAGTGAAGAAACTGTCTGAATGAAGGACACTATGGTGAATTTAAGAGAACACGTTTGGTTCAAATCCGCATTTCTACATGAGTGAAAATCAAGATGTTCAGTAGCTTATCTACAAAAAGGCAAAATATTGTTTCGGGGAACAATGAAACAGTGACCCATTCAACTGCGCACTGACGATGTCTCCTCGACTGGGGACGAAACTTTTGCAAGCCAATCACCAAGCTCAGCGAACAGCTCAACTTCCATCCTATCAGCCACCAATGAAACGGTAAAATTATCTGGGCCCCAAGAAAGTGTGAATTTTGTAGTCATAATCAACGTTGTAATTTGACAGAGCATTGCCGCAACGGAGTTTCAGATCACTGGATACAAACGCCAACCTTCCATCTACTAATCATATGCTGAACACGGATCGTCTAAATGAACCACTATCATTTACTCAATCGTCGGATTCTCAAGTCACTCCTGAGCGGAGTGAAATGTGTGACATACGCGTTTTCAAAAGGAAGTTCCAACTTACGGACAGGGATAAATAAACACATCAGAGGGCTCAGTTGTGAGAGCGGAAGGTCCGTGGTTCGAACACGACCTCTGTCTATTGACTTCCTCTGTCTAAGCATGGGTATCCTGGTAGTATCCAGCCCTCGTGCTTCCTTCGGGTAGCATCGTAGCTAGGCACCGAAAGGGTGCTACAGCTGAATGATAACAGACCCACTCATCCAAATCGAAACCTCTCGTTTGTCACTTTGTCGAATGAGTACATGCGGTTAATCTTCATTCTCCCACAAGACATCCAATTTTTTCGTATATCGACACTGCAACTTCTCTCTTCCCACAAGCTGAACGTGAAGAGAGTAACCCCGCTGCATCATTACAAAACAATTCATGTTTATACGAAATTCGTCAGATAATAAAAGGTCAAAATGAAACAGTGAAACGCACGCAAAATATCACAGCGCTACCGAATTAACCGCACTGAACTGCATTGCGATGTACCAGTTACATTTTCCAAAAGTACTTAAGCGTTGAACTAAAACAGTAGTGAAAAATGACGCCAGATAATGATGTTGTAAGCCACTAGAAGCAAACAACTCCACAGTGTAAAAAAATGCAGTCTACACTTTTGCACGAAGCAAAAGTGCGATTTGCGCACTGCTAATTAAAAACACATCAAACCAAACACTTTTAATCGCTCTGCGTTCCCTCTTTCCCAGTTTTAGGGATCTTGTTGAATCTTTGAACGAGCGAATCCCACACGTTCCTCTTCTTTGTCATAAACTGTGTAGAACATTCGATTTAGTGCAGCCCCGAATCTCCAAAAACTTTCTGTTATACCAACGCGATATGCAAATGAACTGAAGCAGAGTTGCCCCCTCTGAAAACAACACCAAAGATATCTGTAAGTTTGTGATATCGTAGCACTGGTTTTCTGTCATGTCAAACGAGAAAGTGAGTTAGGGTCTACTTGGATTTCGACTGGATATCACCAGGATATCCTTCGCAACTTTTGTACTGGAAAACACTCGCGACTTGACGGGTTTCACGTTTGTACAAATGTTTAAAAACCGATGTTTTTCTAGCGTCCCAAAAGGAATCTGGTTCTTATCAGCAACGAAACTATTTCTGAGCACCCGACTACCGGAGGACGGACACAAACATTTACCTGGTCCTCACAGAGAGTTAAGGCACTTCCAAGCAATAGATTTAACCCGGTTTGACCAGATATAATCAATAACCTGAAATCTCCAACTTAAAAGTCAAACGTCCAGTCCCACTACTCTCGGGACATGAGTCCTATTGAGACGAGTTCCTTGGGAAGATGTACTTCGTATTCCATCCCATTCCGAACAAGCTGTTGATCATCGGGCACTCTTCGAAATTCGATGACTATTCGAACGAAACTTACTGTCCCAATGAGCTGATTACTGGCCGGAACAATGCGTACTCTCAAATTTAACTTCCCCATTTAATACGGTGGGTAAAATGGCTCAGTGATTGGAGCTCGAGTTTACTGACCTGAAGGCCCGTGGTTCGAAACCGGCCACTGCCTCTCGATTTACTCCATCTAGGTTTGGGCAACCTGACAGTATCCCAGCCCTTGTGCTTCCTTCGGGAGGCATGGCAGCTAGGCACCGAAATGGTGTTACAGCAGAACGATTTGATACTGAGGTGACAGGATCTGAAGGGTCACATGTGCAGTCTATTCACTTTGCGGTTTCGATTACTTTTATTCGGTTTGATTCCCACACACAAAGTGCATCATTTTTATCACACGCATCTGAGTTGTTTTCATTTACCTGGACATTTGACCAGTTCTCAATCAATCAAGCATTTTACATCTCGCAGTATTCATCAACCTTACTCGAAAGATATATTCTCTTGGTGATAACGTCAGTGTAGAATCCCCATTCGAAAACTTGACCAAAGGGAAGTTGAGTATTCTCCGGCAGTCAACAATGTACACGCCGTGATGCGCTGCTTCTTGGGTGAGGCGTTTGTTTATTGCCACAACTTCCACTTTCGGTCCAAATGTGAACGAAGTTCCTGAGTCAACCAGAACCCGATTTTCGCCTTGAAAAACGACTTCTTCACCCACGGTAATTCTGAAAACAATGAAAAATCGTGACAGATCCTGCATATGGACGAGGTAGAGAATCACTTTGGGCGAAGCTCCATTTCAAGAAAGGTTGTTCATTGCAAAATGACTCCTACTTGTGCAATCTCCCGTAAGACAGATCCGGAAGTGAAAGCCTTCAAGAAACAAATTTTCGCTGCGCTAAGCGTCAACAAATTGAGGTACTGACAAGATCAATTGGGACAGTCGAACAAGTCTTGTTTGTTAGGGGAGCACATCTTATATACCAAAAAAAACAATTGAGAATGGATGACTGGCGTGTACTCCACTTAATCATCAACGTAAAAACTTCTATGAAAATCTACACGACAGACCGGTAGTTCAGCATGAATACTCAATTCTCCCGCACTGCTCGCGTTGTGCCGTCATTATTTCTGCTGTCTGTGTGAATGCAGACATTTCTCAAATGTGACGGTTGTATCTCGTTAGGTTTAGTCACGCGCAGTGCCAAAATGTCGTTATCGAAACTTGTAGACCATTATGACATGTATAGATGCACTTTACTACTCATAATGTTAGTAAAAATTCTTCGACAGCCCAAAACCAGTTTCGCCCTTCTTGGGGCTCATCAGGTGGGCGTAGTGTCCGAGTCTCTATCAACTTTATGTTCTACGTGAACACACATTGCACGAAACTAACGAAACGCACTCACTTGCAAACCAATTTTGTCTTGCGGGAGACTCACCTGGAACCCGGCTGAATCTCTCGTTTATGGTGTTTGAATACGTCAAATGAGTGTTTCTGGCTGATCATTACCTGAGTTAATTTGATGTTTGCTATCACGTGGGTGAATATCAAATTTACCCCACACACAAAAGTGGGTTTGTTTTGCTAATGACATTTTACTGAGACAATGAACTTCCCTCTTTTTCCGTTTATGCTCGTCAGATTTGACACCACAGTGTGGTGACATTACCAAGCTAAGAACGGTGAATTGGCGTACATTTGGCCACAGCCACAATGCGAAGAGGTCTTTCTGACGTTGAAACGATTATTTTGAAACAGTTCGACGACATACCTCGGGAGAAGCATGTTACCGTGAGCGATATCTACTAAAAAGGCTGTTTTGAACAGCAGGCTTCAGGTTGTCAGTTTATGGCTATCGCAGTGCTCATAGCAACTAAAAGAAGTGGATCTCTTGACAAGATTCCATGGGGGGTGACCGATAGTTGTTTAGCGTTGGAGCCTTAGTCAGTAAGGATATTGCCGTACAAAGATACTGGACTGATGGGAGTGCGTTTAGTTCATTCGGTTCATCATAAATGATAGTAGTGTAGGAAGACATCACCGAACAAGTCTCATTTGGTGTCTGCTCCGCTCATGTTATACATCCTGAACATGAACTCCAGTAAATATAGTTCATACAAAAACATAAGCTTTTAGGGTGGAACTCAAGCCCACTTCCCCTCCCGTTCAAGTGATTTGTAATCTGAGCTACAGAAGATACCACCCGATGGTGCACACTTGTAAATGAAGTCCACAACGGTCTGTCGCAGCTTTACTTAAAGGATCAACAGGTGATGTTTGCATGAACCCCTCGCATGACTTCAGCGGTACAATTAAGTTGATGTCGAAGAGCAGACCCAACTTGTGTACTTGTAATTCCTGTATAGTGATAGACCTTGCCAACGCCTCTGGTGGGTTCTGCATCATGACATAGTGCGAGACCATTTATTTGCGCTACTTCATGGTATGAAGTGTACCAACGTTTATGGTGTGTACATATAAGATAAAAAGTATTTTCGCATCACTTTTTGACAGCTGGTGTCTATTTGCTGAACTTGGCTTGATAGAGCAGTATGTTTGAATGTGTTCGGTCTACTTACGAGCCTGCTCCGATCCAATAAGAAGCATACCAATCAGAGGAATAGAATCTTGTTTTGAGTAAACAATCGTAACAGCGAGATCCGCACCTGACAACAAAACCACTTTCCGGTTTCTTCTTAAAGTTAGCTTAGATCCCTGCACTACAGAAACTAGCTTCTCTTCGGAGCTAAGTTGTGGATGAAATTCCAACTCTAGGATCGATACGACAGAAAAGTGGCCTTCATCGGGAGTTCTTGTTCTCTGTTGTTTAAAATCTTACTTGAGAGACCGAAAATGAAGTTCAAACTAAAATTTTCAATGAACCTGCCTTGTGATCTTGATGTGCCATCCGACAGTTGACTCAGCTTTGAAGTATGTAATAGGCTCGTAGTAACATCCAAGGCAGAGGTCACCAAAATACAGCTTCCCCCGTGATTCTTCTGGTCGCATTACCCTAAGAACAATATCAGTTTGGAAGAAATAAAAATGAGATGTGTGCAAGTTAAATTCAGTTGTTATTTCCAGTTTTGCTAGAAATTGAACGGCAGTTATCTTACAGATACATTTTTGCCAGTCGAAGAGACTGCCGGTACGCTTACAGTTGACTGCTTCATTTTCCCGAAACTATGTCTGCAGTTTTCAAAAAATGTCGGATACCTATCAAGTGGTCGACTTTCTAAACGTTAGCCTGTCCATAGTTCAACTGATCCATTCGTGACTTCTTCCCTTGCCACTTGATTCCTCTTCTTCCGATTTGATACTTTCTGATGACTTTGACGCCCAGGCTGCGTTATAGCCCGTCTTTCTTTCCGTTGATTGGTTATTTGGCTTCTTTGATGTGCTTCTTTGATGCGATTGGTACACTCCTGAATTCTTTTGGGTTGTAGTCAAATTTCTGGCTATTGCTTGCTTAGTTAAATACAGTATTTTCTGCGCTGGCTTCATTTGTTTCTGTTTTTCTTTTGACAGTTGGTTAATTTTGTGGAATTTGTTCTGTTTGCTGCATCTGAATTCCCTTGGTTCATCTACTGATGTCTCTTTTTTCCTGTACAATTTTGAAATCAGAGTGTTGTATGAAAATCGCCGATTTAATGGATCAGTCGAGATATTGCTGACGTTTCACACTGGGGGAACGCAACCTCATGGTTCCTCCCTCCTCTCATATCTACATGTTCATATGCGACGGCGATCAGAGATTTTTGGCACGCGTTTCTCGCACCTGGAAGATGAGCTGCTACGTTCCCCGAATCGTTGTGTGGAGATTGCTTTTGGGGAGAGCTCCTTGTTTGTACCAAAAAACGGAGGAAATTGAGAATAACCCTGGTCATTCGATGAGAAAAAATACAGAAAGGTATGATTAGTAATAAAATAAATACCTTTTCTGAGGCCGTTTAGATTTCTTCTAATTTATGGAGGTGTCTGATGTAGTTGGATGTGTATCCTGCTATGTATGAAACATACGGAGTTTCTGCCAAGTCATGCAAAAACCTTTTGTACGGCTTGCAAGTCAACGGCTGGAATATAGAAATTTCAAATTTAGCGGAACCTTTGCTTATGATAATAAATTATTATGGCCTATTCTCGCTCTGGCTCGAGCATCTGGGTTGGAATTTAACCATCTGCCTCACTGTGGCTGACTTGCATGTGTAAATGAGAGCCTATCGCTGACCAAAATTGAGTACCTCCCTACACACCCAGCTACTTTGCTGTCACAACTGCTAATATCTCCATTCATACGGAATCCGTTACTCTACAGTCTTGGCCTAAGCACCGGCAGTTCTTACGGATGCTTGTAAATACTTTTATGGGAGCAAAATGACTCAGCGGTTAGAGCGCGAATCTACTGGCCGGAAGGTCCGTGGTTCGAACCGAACCTCTGCCTATCCCGTTTCTAGGCTTGGGCAACCCGGCAGTGTCCCAGCCCACGTGCTTCCTTCTGGTGGACGGCAGCTAGGCACCGAAAGGTGGGTCACAGCTGAACAAAAGGTGTCTATGTCACTACTGCATTTATGACTCGACCTCTGAGCAAATGGTTTTAAGTTCAGTTTAAAAAAATGCGGTATATGTAAGTACCTCCCTACACACCCAGCTACTTTGCTGTCACAACTGCTAATATCTCCATTCATACGGAATCCGTTACTCTACAGTCTTGGCCTAAGCACCGGCAGTTCTTACGGATGCTTGTAAATACTTTTATGGGAGCAAAATGACTCAGCGGTTAGGAGCGCGAATTACTGGCCGGAAGGTCCGTGGTTCGAACCGAACCTCGGCCTATCCCGTTTCTAGGCTTGGGCAACCCGGCAGTGTCCCAGCCCACGTGCTTCCTTCTGGTGGACGGCAGCTAGGCACCGAAAGGTGGGTCACAGCTGAACAAAAGGTGTCTATGTCACTACTGCATTTATGACTCGACCTCTGAGCAAATGGTTTTAAGTTCAGTTTAAAAAAATGCGGTATATGTAACACAGCAGGAATGTGCATTGACTGTGCATTGTACGTACGGAAGAATCCAGATGCTGAACACCGCTTTAGTGATACACTCCTGTTGTTTAAGCGCATCCACAAGAGTACTATCAAACCATTGCATTTGGACCAGACGAGACAAACCCAATACCCCATCAAAATGGCGGTTGATTTGAAGTGGTCTTGGATTTTCCATCCCCAGGCCAAACCGAAACGAGGTAGCACGCATTTCACCTAGCTGTTCACCGTAGCAACTGGAGTGGTTACAATTAATATGTTACCTGTAGATTGTCCTTCCCAACAATTCCCTTTACAATGTTTGGTGGGTAGGAAATTGTGAACGTGGCACCCTCCATTGACTGATAGGTGGAGGAGGCCGTCTGATTAAACTTGCTGTTTGTTGCCCAAGCGCCTCGATCACATTCTGTTGAAGGGACCCAAAGTATTGATGATCCTGTGTCGATCAGTACCTTCAACTCTTGTGGATCGGTACCAAGTCCGATGATGGCATAATATCTATCCTAAAGGAAGAGACGTATTAGTGAGTCGAGCTCAGATGTAAGCTGCTTACCCCCTCTACACGAGTTACATCAGCCGACCTGGCTCGTAGCACTTTTCCGGTACTCTCAAACTGCTCCACATTATTCTCGTCAATTACTTTTAGATCTAAACTGTGTGTTGAGGGTGGAGAGGTCTCGTATTAAGCAAAGTGAGACTTACGTTGGTGGTGTTGCAAAGGATATCATAATTTCACTAATAAGGAGATAATGAACGAACATCATCTTTCAGCCTAACTGTGACCTGTTGCACAGGATATGCTTATATAATAGTCAATAGGTTAATAATGCCCTCTCGTAATTGGTGCCAACAGTCACGTGAATGAATAAAAATGCTTCACGGTGATTGGTCGAAGTATGAGGCAATCCCCTAATTGGGCCAATACAATCGTTTGTCTGTTTGAACAATCATCTTTAACTAGAGCGGAATAATTTTTCTGATCTGACAAACCACCACTCGATGCAGTCAATTTTCGAGGTTCACAAATCAGTAGGTGTTCAACGGATTTCACGCTTCTTCAGGGTTTACCAAACAGACGGCTATCAACTGACGAGATCGCAGCCCTCACCGATTTACTGAACCAAGCCTTTCAAAGTTCATTGCATCAACTGCAAAAAAAGAATTATCTCAATCCTAAAAACATTGCCTGAAGCTTTTCGTGTTTTGAAGTAGGCATATCAAATCCTATATCCGTAGACGAGCATTCATCATTTTTTTCATTGTTCCAATTTTGACATGATGCTGACAACTTTGCGAGCATAGTGTTCATTTCCTTGCTTCTGCACCAATGCTCGTCTTGTGGTTGACGTGCATTCACTCAACCATCAGGCACCTCACAAAAGGTTTGGATAGTGTCTTTCTTTGAGCTTCACCCAAAAATAGCGAGTGAAGGAACACTGCCACCAACTCACTTCGTGACACAAGTGGCTTGATGGGACGCGATCCCCATCAACAAAGGGACGTCACCGAAGCTTACTCTCTAACTGAGCTATTTGGAGCGAGCACTGAAAATAAACAACAGATTGCTAGGAGAATTTAATCTTTTTCCGTCCCTTGCAGTCACATCGTATCGTCTTATTGTAACTTCAAGTGCGTCCTGAACTTTATGCCGTACTACACTAGGTACAAGGCTTGAGGAAACTCAGTTGTGCCTTCCAACAATATCATTTTAGTTTAAAATGAATGTCCCTCAGAATAGACCATGATATAACTTGTTCCTCTAGCAAGTTTATAAACTCGCGATATAAAAATGAAGGGTTCTGAGAGCTCACTGGAAAGGACAGGGAAACCGCGCACCGACCAAAACTGGAATCTTTGAGAGGGTCTACGTGTGATAAGAAAGCAGGATAGGGTCCGTCTTTTTTTCTGGTTAGAACAAATATGTCTTCCACCGGACAAGCGTAAAACAGCAGGATTTCAGGCTTGTCCTGTTTTCCACTGAAGGAACGAAAATGTGCAAGAATATTGAATGTCAGCTGTCTTTCTATTAGACTCCAGGTATGCATCTGTGTAAGATAACATCGATTACAGAAAGAGGCCTGGGAACAACTGTTCACCGACATAAAAGGTGCATCTGATAATTGATAGTCCAATATACAGGCCAATGATGAGACTATTTGACTGGAAGCTGACTAGTAAGCATGACATGAGGCTGAGGAAACACCTGAATTCCACTGTCCTTCTGTACACATAACTCATACACTTAGTTGGAGAAAAGTTTCATTTGGTTTCCACCGATTTCCGCCTGTTGTCATCACCCTCCAGTTTGGCTCCAAGAACTATTCAAGGAGAGTAACGAACAAATATGCACAGTACTAGGTAGTCACACTGGCATACCACAGATCGACTTGTCTGATCCACTTGCTTGATCGACAAACATGCGTTTCAACGTTAGACTCACCTGAATCTCAGATGTTGTTTACAATGCTCTTTATCAACTGAATGCATTACGCCAGGCCGCCTCATGTTTCAATTGGGTCGGTATTGGAGATTTCACAGTATATTTTCAGAGTGGAACGCTACTTTAAGGCTGTCCAAGGGATTCCAGTGACCTTATGAGTAGCGTGTTACTCCTAGACAACAATATATTGCAGTATCTTGAACTGAAATATGCAACATTTTCGGTCAAGGTGGACTGTCATAACCGAGAGATTTAGCTAAATTTATGTAGGCCTCCCGTACAAATTGCGCTCATGCAAAGACAGTGTTGATGGTAAGCAAACTCAAGGACCGTGCCTATCTGATAAAACTCAAGAAAGGATATCGAAAAGTTTCAGCAACATTATGAGAGGTGTTCCTTCAATAAATCTCTTGTCCTACACTCGCAGGATGTCACCTGCATTTTTCAGGTCCAAAACAGAATTGAACTGGCTGAACAAGATGTACTCCTATCACTGTTTGATTTGTCTTGCTGCGGTAGTATATGATACTTGGGCGCTCGGCTACCCACAGTTTTTAGTGAAATCGTTTGTCCAAACGACTATTCCTTATCTCAAATGTCCAGGAACAAGCGGGTCAGTAATTTCAGGGTCAACGCG